TGGGCCTAGAGGCCCCACTGAAGAGATGAGGACATGTAAGACTGGAAGGGACTTTCAGCCACTCCAGTCCCTGGCTATTTCGGATGAGCACATTATACAATTTCTTCTCTCAAGTGGAAAGCTCCCTCTTTAAACTACTTAGGGCTTTTCCCTCTGCCAGCCCTTACATTTGGAACTATTCCAGACAGTTGTCCCTCTGATCCTTAGGAACCTTCTTCCAACTTCTAGACATTTACTCATGAACAGTTTACATCTACTTATTCTTCTGCTGATCTTTTCTTGGCTCTTATCCCTCCCTGTTGTTTCTCTTCTTGACATACTCATAAATGGCTAATAGGTTTGCTCTTACTCTTTATTTGTCAAAGTAGACACACTAGAATATTTCAGTCCCCTCCTGTGAGATAAGCCTGAACACCTAACCAGCAACATGTACAATGGTGTTTATCCCCCTCTTTCTGGTGCAAGTATTCCATCTCCTACCTTCCAGGACTGAATCTGCCATTTCTGCAGCCTTGTTAACTAAAGGCTATTGTCCTGTGGTTGACAAACACATAGAGAATATTCTCCCTCCCCACCTCCAACCAATAAGCACATCACTAATAAAAGGTTATTTTCTTATTCTTAGACTAATCACCATCTGTAAGAAACCCTTCAATAGCCTCCCAAATTTTACCAAGAATCCACCTTTCCTTCATTTCCATTACACCTTACATTTGCAGTCTGGACTTAATGGAAAAAAAATAATTTGTCCTTCAACTGTCCTTGCTTCCTACTCTGTGTGTCATCTACTCCCTCCATGGCTGTCATCCAGTGGGTAGGACCAACACAACTTTCTCCTTGGAGGGCTGCTGGGTGTCCTTTCCTGCAGCATCACACTGCCACACCTGGGACTCCAACCACAGGGGCTGGACCATGAGGATCATGCACTTAAAGTGCCCACTGCGTCATGTTTACATCATTACTGGAGTTGCTTACAGTGACTTCTGCAGTTAGTGTGACAATGTTCTCATTTGGGATTTCTGAAATAAAATCAAACTGAACATTTCCAGAGAGTTGTTCATAAATTGGTCTGCTTAAAAGCACCGAATTATTGATCACTTGCTTCATTGCCTTTTATTTTCTTTCTCTCTTTCTTTTCTTTAATGGGATAGGGGAGAGTAGAAAGGTATCAAAGCAAGAATTAGTCAGCCTTGTTCATCTCTATCCCCTACAAGGTTCAGCCTAGAGAGCAACTAAAGACTTAAGGAATTTTATTTCCTGTTATCACATACATAAAGCCTCTAAATGGAAAACAAACATATTTAAAATGCAATTTCACTGAAAACTGACATTTTAGCCAACTGTATTTCCAAGATGACTGAAAATTTATTTTAATATCTAGAAAAAAATTTGCCAGTAACATTAAAATAAAATATTGGGTTTAGGGAGGAAAAAGAAGTACTTGATGGGGTGATGCACAATGTATTTGGCAGTGCAGAGAACTGTACTTATATTAGCATGCATGAATTTTCATTTTATCTAGGTCACTTCTCCACAAGGCATTTAACTGCAACCTCCCGATAGGCTTCCATCCAAAGTTTAAGAGACAACCAACTACCATGGATATGTGACCATTAGACAGACTTGCTTCTGTTTCTTTACACGAGATAGTTGCTGGCTTTCAGTACCAGTGAAGGGTCTCAGTACCAGCAAATGCAGGCTAACAAGCTGCCAACTTCAGTAATGGCTACCACAGGGCCCGAAAGGCTACACTGCAAGTAACTGTGCTGTTGAAAACAGAGAAACCACATACTGCTCAGCAACTCTTTCAGAAATCCATGTGCTGCACTTTGGAGCGGTTACTTGCCAACTGGCTGCAAATGAACCCAAAGCAGATACAGAAAAGCAAAACTATCCTGAAATAGATATATTGTTTAAAAAAAGTCACTGCAACAAAATTATTTAAGAAAAAAAAAAAAAAAGCAAGTGCTTTGATGCATCAAAAGTTAAGACTGCCACTACAATTTAAGAAAGCAGGAGACAGACAAAACCTTGTAGCTCCCAAACCACATTAAAAAACTAGTATATTCTTTTTACGGAAGAGAAATTTCAGTCTCCCAGATTTTACTTGAAATGATTGGATATGTTTATCTGGAACATACTGAAACTATCAGAGCCAGAAGATGAAAAATCTGTGGTAATTCTGACAAGTGTTGGCAAACAGAACTGTCAAGTAAGGATAATGACTTTATACTCACAAAGCACTTTTCATCCAGATAGAACCCAGAGTGCTTTACAATTGTTACTAATGGATTATACACACACATGAATCACTTTGCCCATGACTAAAATGGAACAGCTTAAGGAGTGAACTGTTTAACAGCACATAGCAACACTACACCGCAGTTTAGCACAGGATCCAGTTGCAAATCCAAGAGAAATTTAGGAAGGCAGAATGTAATTATCCACATTGCAATCTGCACAGGATACTGGGTTTACATTACTCTTCCTCCAACAATCGCCACTGGAAATACAGCAATGTCAGCATCTAGAGCAGCACTCTGTCATGATGGGAAGATGACTGGGTACCTTCTTGGCCCAGTTTCAGTTAAGTTCCGGTAGAGCTGAACAAAACTTAGCTGAGTCTGCTGAGAATGAGTCACTTCAAGGATTCATGCAACTATCAAAAGAAGTGTTAAATCCTACCTGAAAGATAGCACCTCAGCCCAAAAAGTACTCTGATAACAAAACAGCACCTAGTTGACACTGCATGGGAAGAAAGAAGCTCACGCTCTGTCCTCCAGCACCTGTTTCTCATCTGCAAGTCTCCCAGAGGGAACACAAGGGGCTCTGTTTAACTCTGATTAAACTTGTGAACGAAGCAGCAGAAAGAATTTAAATCATCTAAGCATTATAAAAAGAGGTTGAAGAAAATAATGCAGAAGTGATGGGGAAGGCTTTTTTCTTTTTTTTAGAGTTTCAGGTAATTATACGCTTATTACTATAGTGAAAGTAATGCTGGAATAAAAGGCAAAAATATAGTAAGAAATGTTAACGCACACAATGAGCTTTGGAACAACTTTTACAATCAGCTGTTCCACATTTCAGTAATTTCAACTCACATAAAAATCAAAATCTGAACTAAAAAATACTTTAAAATTTTAGAAACATAGGTACAAGCAAATCCTTAACCCCTCCCAAGTCATGCTCTCAAGTCCGTGTTCAACACCTATGTAAAATTTCAAGGCTGTACCCAGCAGCTTTTACTGATCTCAGTAAGAGCTCTTAAGAGTTCAGTACTTCTGTTATTCAAGCCATATGTTAAACTGCTTAAAACTGAAGACTTGTCTTTTTTACCCCTTTTTAATTTTCTTTTTTACATTTAGCCATAGTTTTACAAAATTGAAGATGAAGATTTTCAATCTTAGTCAAAATATTTTTTTAAGAAATAGGCTTGAATACATTCTTTATAGGAAAAAAAGGAACAACTATACAGAAAAATTAATTATTCTATGAAATGCAATAATCTGAGACCAACATTTCCCCTTCATACAGATAAATTTTCTATTAAAATCTTACAGCGTGTTCTTACTTTTCTTCTTCTCTAACCATCACCCAAATTGCCTTGGATTTGGAGCACGTGTAACACCACGATCTTTGCCAAAAAGATGTTCAAACAAACAATTACCTAACAGTAAACATGGTATTATGATTGTTAGGTTAAAAACCACAACTTGTACAAAAAACAGAAATCTGCCTACAATAGATTAGGAAACAGGAAATCTTTTAAGGGAGCAAGAGCTACAATACAGCCTTCTGAAACAAAAGGAAGAACATCACAGTAATTAATTCTTCTTTTAACAAACACATAGGATACAACAGCTGGAGAAAGTAAACACTAGGATGCTGGCTATCTCTCTGAAAGGCAGGAAGCCAAGAGGAAAGGGTGACTAGAAATGGAAAGCTTGGAGTCAAAACGAGATTCCTCATCAAGTCAGTGACCATAAGATCTACCTAAAAAATGTAAGTCTGGAAAATTAATTGTTTAGAACCAGAGATTTCACTGCAGAAGTATTTAATCTAGGCTGAACTAAATGAAAAACTTTCTCTTAGTATTTGTCCAAGATTAAACTTAATTCATGCACCTACTTTATAGGAGAAGTCAGATTCGTTATCAGAATTGTCTTGTTTACTTCGCTACTACACTCAGCAAGGAGAACAAAGAACACAACAGTCAGAGTCTGGAGTCAGCATGAACATCTGATCTGCTTTCACATTAAGAATACCACAATCACCAGAATTAACAAAAGGGGACCGAAAAAGAGAAAAATTAACTATTTTCAATGATGTATATAGAACTGGAAAACATTTGGAGAAAAGGATCAGGAAAGAAAAAGTAGGAGTCAAGTATCTGAAAAACTGCTGTATGTCAGAATCATCCATTTCCAATAAAAACACTTTTGAAACAAAACTGCTAACAAAAAAAAGATGTCTTTCAAAGAGAGAGAATATTTTATCATCTGGCTTTTTCATCATGGATCATATTTCCAGATATATTGATAATGGAAATCAGCCAGGAGGTCAAGTTTCTTTATTCAGGACTTTCAGGTGGAAAATACTGTATCTAGTTTAATGACACATCTCCAGGTGGGTTTCTTTCTTCTTCATTGCTTCCTTCCACTTGGACCCTTGATATTTCAGTAGCCTGTCTAACACAACAAAACGTTAAGTCTTCTTACCTACAGAAATAGCAAGTGGCCCTCTGAAAGTGCTATCTCAAGCTGTATTAAGTTTTCTAAAATCTTGCACCTTGTATGTTTGTCAATTCCCTGTTTCTTTGCAACAGGTTCCATCTACATCTGAAGACTTTTTTTGTTTGTTTAGTTCAGGTGGCCAGCAAAAAGCTTTGGCTGGCATGCTCTGGATGTTGCTTTAGCTGTGCTAAATGGAGCTAGCACGCACGTGCGGTTTCTAGACTACGTATGCAGATGGTTGATAGATGGACAAATGATAGAGTGTACCTGGTTAAAGTATCTTAGGCAACTTTCCTGGCACCAAAACCAGCAGAAACAGCACTTGAAAAGGCACTTTGCACATGCACTCTCCTGCAATAAAATGAAATGTTTGGTTACTGGACAGAGAATAAGACTCAAACAAAACCTCCATTTTAGAAAAACTTGTTTTACAGGTGACTGATTCTTCTACTTAAGCATTCTCTTAGGCAGCAGATATTTCTTTAGGATTATAGGAACTGTTTTAACTCAGGACCTTCAGTATTAATGACTGATGAGCTGAGCATAATTTTTTCTTACTGGGGATGGAAGATTCTTCCCTGGGAAAAGAAAGTAAGTGCTGTAAGCAGTTTTGTGAGCTAACAGCTGCTTGGAGAACAAAACAGTACTTTGCAGTGATCAGGGAGTGCACTGACAGATTTTTAACTTCTTTGTTTATCAAAAAACCTTCAGAGTTCTGAAATGACTGGTACCCTAATGAACAAAAATAAAAGACTGGGCAGAAGGACTTCTATGCACATGTGTGTGTACTGACTCACAGCATACATTCATTTTTCAGGATGAGAAGAAAAAGCATGTATTAGAACAGACCATTCAAAGGACACTGATCTATATTCATTTCATACTGAAAACAGAGCAGAAAAGCTCAATGTTGTTCAATGGCCCACCTTCCCCCATCACATCATGAGCTCTTAACTTCATATAAAGATTTTACCAAGCTAGACAAGAAGACGACATCTTGGTAGCCATGGTAGCCTTTCAAATTTAACTGGCTGTTTTTCTCAGCAAAAGGAAATTCAGTTTAGTGATACTTGAGTCTTATTAACCTTCTTTTTCCAGAGGTCACAATGTTTTTTGTTTTGTTTTGGAAAGCAGAGATCTTCCCGTCACTATATGAAAACCTCAGGTCCCCACAACTACCATTGTGCAGAAACCACAAACCTCCCAACTTTTTCCAAAGGTCTGGAAAATATTCCAGAAATAATTCCTTTAAAATGGTGACTGTACATGCAAACTCTTGACAGCAGAGAAATACTTTAATCGTGTCATGTATTGCCGAAGAGATGATTTTATTAGAATTGTATCAATCTCAGTAAGTACTGTTTATTAAAAATCTAGAGCAAGGGACTTCAACTGCAATCTTTTCTACGATTCTGCTTGAAGACTGCTGTGTAGAAAACATGTGAATTTACCAGCAAGCTTGCAGACCCCTGTCTTTTCCTCCTATTCACAGAAAACAGCAGCATTTTTTGCAAGGGTGGTAAAGGCTGGGTGAGGTCTACAAGAATGCAGCATCACTCCTCCATCTTTTAGTACCACTACTATGGCCCTGTATGGAAAGAGCCCCAATGGAAAGGGGCCATAGCCTGTCCTTTCCCCCATGGGAAGGAGCAAGGTTACTTTGTGGGGGGAACCTTCTGAAGACTAGGGACACGAGCTCACCTGAGCACTTTAAAGCCTCTTTAGCAGCAGTTACAGCTATGGGTCATGTCACATCCTCTGCTGAATGCTTGGCAACTAGACCAAAAGGAGCTTGCAGCACACCGCTATAGACACAAATAACCTTTCTAGTTAATAATAACCTTTCTAGTTAAATATAGCTTGCAGCACACTGCTATAGACACAAATAACCTTTCTAGTTAAATCTTGTACAGCTATTCAGATTACAAAACCACATACCCAACAAGTCCACTAATTTTGCTTCCTCTAGAGGCAGAAAATACATTGTCTTCTGCCTAGCACAACTCATCCCACCTATCATCTTTAAAAAAAAGTTCTTAGCTGACCCAGCTTACCAAGTTTTATAACCAAGGCCTTCATATGAAAGTGACATAAACCCAGACACACATCCTTCATGTATTTTATTACAAGGGGATTTTATTAAGCATTAACAAACTATACCCCACACTCATACTCCATAGGTATGGGGGATGGTCAGTGTAAATACCCTGTCATAACTACACGTAATATGCTTCATACCCAAGGTAAATTTCAGAGGAAAAGACCTACATTTAAAATCTTTGCCTAAAACTTTCTCTAAAATCAGAGCTGTACAGTCATGACAGCCCTCTCTCCTTGCCAAAGTGCCAGAACTAACTGCAATGGTAAGTTTCCAGAAGGAGGTAAGAGATGCAGAGATGCATGAAAGACAGAAAGAAGGCAAGCAACAAACGAAACAGCCCACCTGTAGTTTTTATACATCTTAAAGGATGTGGCTTGGGTCCTACACAAATCTCTGGAATAGTTCTTATTTCATACATTCTTGCTATAAACTCATATTACAAGGCAGATGAAATCTTTTCTATATGATATTTTATATGCAATAAGAATGTTCTTAGTTACCTTCGCTTTTTTAAAATTCATGATGCATGTATTTTAAATAAGAGTATTCTGCCAAATTTTGCCTTTATCTTTCATAAAAAGCTTTGTATATAAATGCTAAATAAAGGTGGGTTTTAATGTTGGTGTTTTCTGCTTTTAAAAGTATCTGAGTTGAAAGAACTAGAGGAAGCACTGATATCTGAGAGGATAAGCTTTCTTAGTGAAGAAAATGAAATAAAATATAAAATCCACATCACATTATCCATTTTTAAGCAAGTATATTCTTCACTTTTGCTGTCATGAATCTCCTCACCTTTTAACTACTATTTTTATAGTGTTACAGAAGTATGTACCTACCTTTTGTTTTAGGATATTGTAAAGGTACAAGAGAACAATTCTTGGTATTCTCAGTATTGTGATTAGAAATGAGCCTTTTACAGCAGTTCCTAGATGATAGCAAAAAAGAACTGATATGGAAGACAGGACTGGGTGAGGTGGTGGGCTATTTTTATTTCTAGAAAGAAAAACAAAAAATGTAAAAATGTTTTAGAAACTTATCTAAGACATACATAGTATATTTTCAGTATTTAGAAACTTATAGAATTAAGCTGGTATCTCCTTTTCCACTTGAACAATTCCAGTTTTCCTACTGACTTCATCTGAATGATCACCTTAGTCCAAAAGTAAAGCAGCCAAGTTTATAACTTTTATTGGATTAGTTTAATTCTTAAGCAATGACTGTTTTGATGTATTCAGTAATGGAAAAATATCTAGAAAAAACCTACAATGGAAAATACCAGAAGTGAACAGCATCTGAGAATATTTTCTTGAATACCTCTCTCCAGTTTCTGTCACTTCCCTTATTCTCCGCAATCTTTTATCTGACTGTTGTTTCTGCAAGATTTTAGTCTGAAGGAATGAATCTGCTATTTTTGCTTTAATGGTAAAATCAAAACTAGAAAAAATATCACAAGCTCTCACATGTAAAATTGACATCTATTATCTACATTTGTTGTTGCAATTTGGTCAAATTTAGTTTTAAATTTTGTGCAGATAATTAATACTTTTTTCCCCACTGAACATGAATGAATATCATACTGTATGTTTAGAATTATAATCTGGCCTAAAAACCTTGTAATTTTACTGCACACTAACCTGTTTTGTTTTGGAGAAAGAATGTGTTTCCCAAAATTGAAAAGCAAAGACAAAATAATTGGTCTAAATATAAGTTTTATTTTCTTGGTTCCTTTATAATTTTAATGTCAACCATTTACAGCATAATACAGCTCTTGAGTATTTATATAAAAAGAGGAAAAGGACTTAAAGCAACTCCCCCACCCCTCTTGAAATGCTGTAAAAAAATCAATTAGATTAATACTATAAATACCGTTAAAAAAATGTTTCAGAGGATTAAAAAAGCCCACCGATCAACAGTCATGAATAGCCCTTCTAAAAAGCAACTCTTTAGCAATTGGTCCAACCCTGAAAAATTTACTTAGGCAACAGAAGCAACAGCAGTTTGACTGAGTAGTTAAGCAAAGCTACGACCTTATACCACAAATAAGATGTCCTGTTTTCATAAGTGATTCTTTCAAAGCCTCTGTTATCTTGAAAACTTAATAGTTTGCACAACAAACTAAAAAAATAAGGCGGCAGTGATAAGAGAGTGACTGATTTGGGCTAAAAAGCTCTACAAATATATTTTTCTAAAATCCTCACTTCAGCAATTTAAATCATACACATAGGCATCGCAATTCTGCAAGAATCCTGAAGTTCATTCAAAACACTAAATACTTTGCAGCTGAGAAGCTGTATTTATGTATGTGAATATACCACAGTATTTTAAATAGGAAATTCCAGTAAAGCAGTTGCTGCATTTATTATTTTTGGTCTTACAACTAGGGGAACGGCTTGGGGGATAGTGTAATTTTATACTGAATAAGGCAGTTTGCTTTATTTTAAGTCATAAAGTTTCTTTGTTAGAAACATGTACATCACAATATAGATGAGTTACTCTATCCATACAGCACCATTGTTTCCTTTTCCCTCATACACTATCTTCCATATGACAGCCTCAGTCAGATCTCAGAATATAGAAGATGAAGTTTCTTCAAGTTAAATGTTAACCAAAGGTGAGAGACACAGAAAGGACAAAGCTTACTCTTGTGTTAGTAATCTACTTGCTACTGAAGAGAAAAATGAAGAAGAGTTTTGATATTTTTAACAGGACTGATTAATGAGCAGGAATGTCAAAATTTGAAGCTTAGTTTAGATGAATTTCTACACATTTAGATGCTTTTCCACACCTTTTTTTCCCAGCAAAGGCATTCTCACAAGAACAGGGTCTGACAAGGTTTTTTGCTTTGCTTCCAGACTCCAAGTAGGAAACATGGGAAAAGGGCTAGCTAAACACAATGGGTGATGCTTGTGATTAAACAAGCTCAAGATTGGCTCATTCACCTACATCCAATTACCCTTAAGGATGAAGTTTCACCCAGCTTTGTCTATTATACAGTTACAATCCTGAAATGACTTCAGGACAAGCATACAGTCAGCCATACACACAGTGTTTTGTAGGCAGATGTACTGTGCAGTGAATTCCATGCATTTAGACTTCACTACTTGCACACAAGGTATTGGAGATAAACAAGAATCTGCCTGATAAAAGTAGGCGTCAGTAGGGCCACAGCTTACGTTTCCTCTTTGGTATTCCTATTTTATGTTACCACAGGATTGTTTGATTTACACAGAACACTATATTCCAAACTTCTGTGAACCTGTACTCAATACCACATAATGTTTTAATAATTTTCTTTCTTCAGTGCTGCCAATTGTCTTTATTTTCTTGTGAGCTCTGTGACACTTGATATCTTTCTTAATACTGAGTTCCTTGAATCAAATGACCACGCATGCAGTTCAGCTTTCATTTTAAAAACACTTTTTTTGTGTGAAGAAAAAATGTAATCTTGACACACCCAAAAGATGCAGACATTTGAAAGGGGAAAAAAAAAGCATTTCTTTAAAAGCCTGTCCTTCTTTTCAGTGATGAGCTTATAGTTGTCTTCAATCCTGCCTCATGTTTCAAAGACTAAAGAGAGATTTAGTGTAAAATACTTCAGAAGTGTTAAGGAATGAATCTTATTCCTCAAGTAAATAAGAATCACATTTTTAAAACAAATACAATAAATTACAAGATTTGTAATGAAAGAGACATTACCAGACCAACAGAGAACACGCAGACTAATTCCAACTGCCCTTTTACCTGCTCTCAAAACCACAAGGGTCAGGTCTGACTACACACGTGCTGATGGCTTTTACATGCAGGGCAAAGGGTGCTCATAAATATTTCAGGTGTATTTGAAAAGGGAAGAGTAATCCTTTAAAAATCTGGTCCTAGTTCATCTCTCAATGAGTTTGGCACCAATCCATAAACCTGGATTTTTGACTTACTAGGAGATGTATGTATTTCACCTCTCACTGAATCTTTCAGAAGCTGCGTTGCTGAACACCTAGTCAGGTGGAAATACTCAATTCTGCAAATGCTTATATATTCCCTTAATTTCAACCCTGTGCAGCAACATACATGCACTAGTTACTGAATAAGCTCAAACATGGACAGGACAGTGATGCCTGTGATATGGGTCAAGTCACCATACCACCTTGATTTAATCCCAGAGAGGGGAAAAGCCTCATCTCACTGAAAAAGGTAGATGCACCTAACACCTAAGCACACAAAGATGAAAATAAACCCTCACGTAAAACAGCAATAATAACAAATAAAGCTTTAAAAAACCCTGAGTCCTTTTCACAAGTTATTAAAGATAATCATTAAGCAAAAAAGCTCTATTTATTTTATTAAATCAATAAAATCTTTCATGTATTCATGTTTCATCTGAAATAAAAGAAAGAAAAACCCATTTTCAGTGGTGGTGTTACAGGTCAAACATATGTCACCTGTAAAGCTAAAGCAGGTAAAATCACTCCCTGCCCTCCTCACTGTGGCTGCTGGCTGTGCAGCACGTTGCTGCGTGTGCTGTGGAAGGAGATTTCTGCAGGGAAAGGCCATGCCGTTTCCTCAGAGCACTTACAAGCAAAGAAGAAAGACTCTCTGTGAGGTATCATAAACAAACTCTTGTGACATGCCTTTATGATGCTGCCCCAGGGAATACATTAAAAACACACAGCAGACAATGTCAGAATTGCTGGAACAGCTTGAGGGAGCCCTTGCCCTTGACGGTGTGACCGCTCTTGCGGATAACGATCCTCTCCCCGCTCCCGCACTGCTCCGCATCTCTGCGGGTTTGTGCTGACAGCCCAAAGGCCAGGAAGAGGGATCGCCACCACAGAGAAATTGCATTTTCCTTTCCAAGCACAACTCTCTCAACACAGTCCGTGTCACCTGGCAAACAAGAAGAGGGCTTGACAGTAGATGTACAAAATTACTTCAGTACAATTGGGTGCAGGAACCTTCTGTACTCTCTGGCCAGTTCCTGCAGCAGTAAAAAATAGCTGGAAAGCGGAAGACCCTAACAGAGCAGTAAATGTCACCACAGCAGTTTCTAGAGGTGCTTCCCTGCTCTGTGTGAAGAAGATATAGACAGAGTCTTTGCCCTGGGGATTTAGATGGTGTATCATACCAAAATGCACTGCAGCACACAACCCAGTCAGTCAACAAAAGTGCTTCTCTTTCCCGTGCTTTCTCAAGCAAGCCAGTTTAAATGAACCCTAGTGCCTCAGCATTCAGCTGCTAAAGCTGAATCAATTGCTAAAGCTCGAGGTACATAAATTCACTTAGAAGAAAAGAGCAGCCCATTACCCACAGAGCTACAATCATACTAATTACCTGTGTTTATACCCTCAACAGGAAAAAGGACATGACATAAGAAATGTGACTTCCTCCTTTTTCAGGTCCTATCATGACATGTGAAATATTAGTGTGAGGCTCTTGTCACTTTACAGATCCCCACCTTTCAAAAGGCCGCATTTTACGTTTTGTCTGCTCTTTTACTAGCACCAGTTCAGTGGCACAGCTGTTGGTACAGAGAATCCTAGCAGAGACAAGTTCCTCATACACGTGTTAAACACTGCCCTGCCTTGGCTTTTTGGATGGGATGACAAAAAATCCTTTAAAACAATGGTGGGCACTGGCTGTTACCAGGTCTTCTAGCTTTGCTCAGCTGGAGCAGAGCTGCTGCGGGCTGCAGCAGGAAAAGCTTCAGTCCTGCAGGCAGAACCCGTGCTGCTGTCTCTACTGGGTGGAGGGAACAGATCATTTGGAAACCTTTCAGCAGGAAGCCTTTCTATCAGCTGTGGAAACGCCCAGGGATCCATTCTAGACTCCGACAACAGAAACCTGCTCCCTAGGTTTTGAAGAAGCCTGAAGCCTCCCTTCCAGGCTGCCCCAGCCCAACAGTCGCAGGCAGCTACAGCTAGTGCTTCGGGGTCCCCCAGCACTCTCCTGCCAGGCTCCATGATTCAATTGCACATCACCCTCCTCAAGGGCTAATTTTCCAACAAACTGAGATTATCACCCTATTCCTCTAATACAAAATGTAGAAATACTTTAACATGCCAGAGTTTTTCACGGATCAGAAAATCTCATTACTGGGTGTAGAGGAATAGAGCAAATAAGGGCAAGAGACCTCATTAAATACTTACAGGGAAAAATGTTTCCAGGATACTACTCTCTTCATTGTCAAAAAATTCAATGATGTATTGTGAGATTTAAATCTTTCCCCGCAATGACAGGATAACGCTGTTCCATTGCATAAACACAATTTAATTTCATTTTACAATATTCAAGTCTAAAAACCAGTACAAACCATGAAAATATAGAGATTTTTCCCTCATTTCCTCCACATTTACATTTCAGGTCAATAAAAAATTCAAGGAATTTTGTTTATACATCTCTAAATTCTTAACAGTGGTGTTGAACCATTTACAGCTAAATGAAAATATCTGCACAGAATGAAAAAAATAAGAGTACCAGACCAGGCATTTATGCAGTCCGAACAAATGGAAACCTGGAGCAGGAGTGAACACTTAGGAAGCAGTCAAACTGCCTATGAATACATGAAATTACGAAGGAGCTATATATTGCATCCCCATCTGATGCTAACGCAGTCTCTAGGAAAAGAGTCAAATGCAGCCTGTGCCTTGGAAGTGGCAATTTCACGAGAGTCAACGGAGCTTTACAGGCTCGTATCAAGGCTCACTTTGGCCCAGTTACTCTAGTGGTAGGGGTGAGTCATGTTAATATCATGCACACTGTAAAATCTCACTCAAGATCTTGCAACAAGCAACATTATTTTATGTTAAACTGGATTTCAAGATACTGACATATATTGCAGTCTATTTGAGACTATTTTGACTAGAAAAAGATTGAAAGTAAATGCTAGAAGATCCCCAGAACGATACGGGAGCAATTCTGCACTCACCTGTTGAAGTAACAAGTAACCACTGCCCCAGCAATCGTCATCTGCTGACAGGCAAGAATGAATTCACTAGTCCAGATAAGGCCAACAAAATGATACCATGCCATGTGGCAAATTCCAGACAGACCTCTGTATTCTACTTGTCCTCCTGAAGTAGTCTGTGCCGTACCTAGAGTTAGGATTATACCGCTGTATTATTATAACACACCAGACAACAACAACAAAAAGTACATGTAAATGCTTCTGTACTCTTTTCTTAACTTTTATTCAATAAATTATAAAAAAAAATAATTCAGGTGCTATTTAATTCTACCCATTCTAACAAAGTCAGGGTGCCAAAATTTTGTAATTCAAATAGAATTTTGAAAAATAAAATCTTACAAAAAGCAAGAGCTTGCGTTTAAATCGGGATTGAGACACGGCTGCCAATAAATCCAAGAGGACAGCTACGAATTAGTAAAGATTTCTGAGAAAACACTACTCAAGATTTGAGTAATCAAATGGTTCAGAAGTAATGGAATCTTAATTTTCTTCATTCAGATTTGAAATAAACTCATAGTTAAGAAATGCTTTAGATTTTTTCTATAAGAAGATTGCAGAAGATTATTAAGGATGCATAATGTACCACTGCAATAAAACAAAACTATTATTTAATTACTATTACTAATTAGAATCATGGCAACTAGTTTTCTGTTATCTATACATTGCAATCTTTGTGCAAAATACAGATGCATAAGGGCAGACTCTCCAAAAAAAAAGCAGACATCTGTATGGCAGTATATGTTCCGATGTTACTACTGTATTCAGGAACATTGACAAATGAACTTATTCAAGCTAAAAAAAAAATTTCTTTTTATTTTACCAAGCCTTAAGTATATTAACCTTAAAGATAAACATGTTCACAGAATAAAACAATCTCTGGAGGTGAGTAGTTTCTTATTCTAACTCCATGAAAGAAATAACAAAGTGAGACTGCTAGAACAGCATTGTAACTTAAGCTTTAATATTTCATGTATTAATTTGGTAGACTTGGCAGTGTTAGTTTTATGGTTGGTCTTGATGCTCTTAGAGGCCTTTTCCAACCTAAGATTCTATGTTCTCTCACAGGACAGCACACCACCTTCAAGTTCAAAATTACCACAGATACAAAGCTATCTATGAAATGGTTCACTTATTTGTGTCATATTATTCTCTAACCACAGAGTTCATACTCAAGAATAGCTAAAATAGAAACAATAAAGATTTGTTTTCAGCAATACCATCAGGTTTAGACAAGCTTTCTAAGTCCTCAGAACCAAGGTCTGTTTGTCCGTAAATTATGAAAAATATTCATCTACCCTACACTAGCACTGCAAAATTATTGAGTGCTTTGAAAGAACCAAAAAATGCTACATGGGTGCATAAACATGTTCTGGATAATTTTTTTCTGAAAGGTTATCAATTTTAGCTAAACAGGCAAGCTCTTTGAATTCAAAGGATTTTTCATCTCCCTTACTTCTTCCAGAGGCTTTAGATCGCTGTTTGCCTGCAGCACATACAACTAGCCAAGTATGTTCACTAACCACAGCCTATAGCCCTTACTGGGGGAAGTCATGCAAATGATAGGTTACTGAGATATAAGGTCTCCCAATCTCCCCGTTTTTATGCAAAGACATTATGCCATTTGGTAGCAGAATTAAGTACATTTTCCACCATAAAATCTACCTTAATTTTTTTGAAAAAGGGCACATTTCAGGCTTTGCTCCTGTAGTTTTTGTCATGAAGTCTGACAAATGTATGTATGGTAAACTAATTCTGTTTGCTTTTTACCAGCCTACTGAAATAACCACCTGCAGTAACAACCGTAATGGCTTTGTCTTTCCTGGCCAACCTTACACATGTGCACGTGCACAGCACTGTGCTCTGCTGCACAGAAATCAGGCGCATCCACCTCTGAGTTTACCATTGATCACTTTGCTGTCTAGGTATGGTAAACTGTTTTTATCACTTCAAAGAAATCTGTTTACCACTATACACATCTATGTCTGACTGATTCTGTGTCTTCTGGGCCTATCCTGCATACATAATTTTGTTAACAGAATTACATGCAATGCTGTTTTTCATATGTTGGTCTCAGTAGCACAGTTAAACTTTAAAGCTATCATAAATACCCCATTAAGAAAAGTATATGCAATTTTCCTCATCACTTCACTGTGATCTATCTGTTCACAGAGGCTAAACTTTCTCAGTAAAGCCTTGAAATATGGTTTAATTTGTCAACAGAATATTTTTCTCCAACTACATAACCATGAATCTTTCTGGTGTACTATACACTTTTAGTGATAACATTAAGAAATCACTAACAAACTGAAGTCCCTACAAGTGAATCACCAAATCTGAAAACTTCTGATCAGTACAAATGTTGATCTGCTGCAAATACTTCAAAAGAAGTGTTGTTAACAATGCAAGCAGGCATAAGTGTTTGCTGCAGAATTCAGAGGAGTTTCTCCATCTGACTCTGCAGCCCAGGGCTGTGCCGTTACATCAGCCAGCACAGCAATGCCATGATATCAAAGTCAGTGTGCACAGGCAGTATCGTTAGCTACATTTTGGTACTTTTCAGACTTATGTCAGACACTCTTACTCGGCAACTGCTGCTCCAAGATTTTGCTGATGCGTGGAGGGGGGGGGGAAAGGGACGGAAACTTCTGGGAAGTCTAGTCCATTAATTTCCTTATCAGAAACAAAGAACCATACTGTATTAGAAAATACTGAGACGCTGTTTATCAGTTCCTGTTAAAAAGAAAATAAGACGTGCCCTTCCCACTGCTAAGCAAGGAAAGGTTCTGGCATCATACACTGAATCTTCATGCTTCCTGTAATAGAATTTATTGTGTTATTTTATTTAGCTTTTTTCCATGTAGTGGTATTTACAGCTAAGCTAGCTGACTGTAATTGGAATGTCAAGGACCCTGCAGGAAAAACATTTTTATTGCTGGTTTTGCTACCGCACAGCTTTATGTGGCAGTTTTATTGCTCACTTGACTGTAGGATGCACCTTTGTTACACAAAAATCTCACCCTGCCTTCTCATCCTACATTACATGCATAGTATTTATACCATGCAGACTTCCACAGCTCCTGCATGCTGGAAAATTGAAAGACATGCTTTGCCGTGCCACATGGCCACTTCAGTTCTGCAGTGAAATGCCACACAAATTAGCAAACAATAAGACTCTATAACCCTAAGACATAACAGCTGTTCTGAAGCTCAGCTGAGTTCCATCCCTAGCCAGCTAATGGTTCTAACCAGTGCCACTATTAGTGCTGTCTCAGGTCTCATGGAGTCTTGGCATTTCTCCTAGTTTTCTAGGTCTGGAGCTCACTCAGTCTTTACTGCTGTTACAGATTCTGAATTACCAAGATACTTAAGCAGGTGCCCACCTTAAAATGCATAAGTAGTCCCAGTGATTTTATTATGATTATCCATGTGTTTTAAGTTAGTCATGTGCATAAGTACCTTTCTAAGTGCAGGCTATAGTTTTCTATAGTTCCCAAGAAGTTTAGTTTTTTCTCAAACCAACACTAAATTTGGAGGGGATGTAAATAAGGTGCCTGTGTGGTCTCATAATGATCAGATGCACCACAGCTGAAGCAAGGATCAAGTGCTCCAGAGTTGTAAGATGCAGAGATATTATAACTGCTGAAGATTCAAGGAAAATTGTTAAGAACAGGTGCAGCACAGCAGCAAGCCAATTATATTTGCCCATCTTTCTGTATTAGACAAAAGACTAGTGTCTTTGTAAACATTTCATTTTTTCACATTTCTTAGTATATTTGAATTTAAAATAGTCTGCATAGCCCCCGATATATTTGTGAGAACAGAAAGTGTCAAAAATACTTGGGGAGGAGTGGCTGGAGAGCTGCCAGTCAGAGAGGGACCTGGGGGTGTTGATTGACAGCTGGCTGAACATGAGCCAGCAGGGTGCCCAGGTGGCCAAGAAGGCCAGTGGCATCCTGGCTTGTGTCAGGGCAACGAAGCTGGTGCAGGGTCATACGAGGAGCGGCTGAGGGAACTGGGAGTGTTTAGTCTGGAGAAGAGGAGGCTGAGGGGAGACCTCATCGCCCTCTACAGCCACCTGAAAGGAGGTTGCAAAGAGATGGGGATGAGTCTCTTTAACCAAGTAATAAGTGATAGGACAAGAGGGAATGGCCTCAAGTTGCACCAGGGAAGGTTTAGACTAGATGTCAGGAAGTATTTCTTTCCAGAAGGGGTTGTTAGGTGTTGGAATGGGCTGCCCAGGGAGGTGGTGGAGTCCCCATCCCTGGAGGTGTTAAGAGTCGGGTCGACTTGGCACTGAGGGATGCGGTGTAGTTGAGAACGGTCAGTGTTAGGTTAATGGTTGGTGGATGATCTTCAAGGTCTTTTTTAACCTAGAAGATTCTGTGAAAAAAAAAAATCAAGAAAACCACCACCTGTATTTTATGGACTGAATCCTGAATAGGCAGCTATTTGTCAACAGAGAAAACAACTTGTCAAAGAGAGCGTATCTTGGGAGATCTTCTGAGAAGTAGTCTCAGCTGTTGCAGAAAGTTCCCAAAATTCAAAATCAGAAATCAGGGAGATTTGCAGGGAGATTGTAGAAAACTAGCAGAAGATACAAAGGGGTTCTGCCAATGCGTTATTAATCATGCAGTACCATATGTATTGTACTGTATTTTTACAGGATGTGCAAGTACTAGTCATCCTAGAACAGCAAAACAACCCCCAAATGAGCTATCTTACTGTGAGCTACTTTAATAGGCAGCATTTTAGAGGACTCATATTTGAGTTGAAAATTTGAAATACAATCTAAAGGACTATTTTCAATACCAAATCTAGTCTACTGTTCATTTGTCCATATTTTGAACTTCAAAACAAAACCGGGATAGAATATGGGACTGGAAATCCAAACAACTATCATAGTTCTTGCTGACACCTAACTCCTGCATCACCTTGACAAATCTCCTCAATCTGAGAGCTGAATAAAACAATCCTTCACTACCTCCCCAGATCATTACAAGGCTAAAATTGCCCTTGTTGTCTTTGAATTCCCCTCGGGAGGAGTTACTCTGTAATCAGAGCAGCTGCAAACAACTATGCAGATTTCCCCCCACCAGTTTACCAGCACCTGGTGGGCACTGGCGCTGATGCAGTTGATTTATTGGTTCCTTACCCGAACACCTCAGCCCCAGGACTTTGCTAAGGACTCAGGTTACACCTGCTGGGCAACAACAGCCACCACTGAACACAGACAGTTTAACAAACAGAATAATTATGAATACAAATGATAAAATTAATAGAAACGAGTTTTAACCAGAAAAATAATCAAATACACTGAGTGGCATTTTTCTGTCTCCACTCATGCTTGGGCGTAACTTAGAATTGGTTTGGATTATTTCTCAAATGCACATTCTCTTGTAAATATTAACACGCTAACTGTTGTACTGGGTCTGGCTGAGCTGGAGTTGGTTTTCCCTTATAGCAGCCCTCACAGTGCTGTGTTTTATGTTGGGAGCTGGCAGGGTGTTGATAGCACCCTGGTGTTGTGACTACTGCTGAGTAGTGCTTACACAGCACCAAGACTCTTTCTGACATTTTCCAGCCCCCAGTGGGATGGGGTGGGAAAGATCTTGGGAGGGGACACAGCCAGGACAGCTGACCTGAACTGACCAAAGGGATATTCCAGACCATATGACGTCTGCTCAGTATAAAGCTGGGAAAAAGGCGGAAGGGGGTGGGGTCACCCTTGGTCCTCCGAGGCAACCACTCTGCGTATTGGAGCCCTGCTCCTGAGAAGGCCCGACATCACCTGATCATGGAAAGAAGAGAATAAATCTGTTTTCTTATTTTGCTTCCACGCATGGACCTTTGCTTCGCTTTGCTTATATTAAAACTGCTTTTGCTTTACCCACAAGGGTTGGTCTGTCTTATTTTCTTTCCCCTCTTTACTCTGTTGAGAAAACAAGGGGAAAGGGGGAGGAAGTGATAGAGCAACTTGGTGGGTACCTGGCATTTAGCCAAGGTCAAAACACCACAACTGTTAACAGAAAAAATCTTAGAAGGATTGACATCTACACTAAAAATATGCTGGCAGAAGATCTCAGTCAAAACATATGTTTTACTAGATTCCTCATATGAGCAATATATTGATGGTTAAGTGCCTGGAAATGACCTTCCCTTCTTAGGCTGAATCTGCAAAAAGTCAATTTTCAGAACTGAGCATCCTAGAAGCTTTAACATCATTCTACTGTGCAGCAAGATTATGCTACCTACTGTACTGTTTATATCACTCGCTGGAAACATCAGTGTTCCTATTATGCCAGGGAGAAGACAAAAAATAAAATACCTTTGAGTCAGGAGACTTGTGCTGCACGATGAACGTAACAGCAGGTCATAAACTGTTTGAATTCTACTCTCCAAGCAGGCAGTGAAAAAAAAAAAGTGAATGGAAATGTCTAGCAGGAAACAGAATATAACCAATGAAGGAAAATGGCACAACATGGAAAAAGCATAAAAAGTCTCTCAAAGGCAGTTTTCACTGGGTTTTATTTCCCTGTGAATACATGTGGAATTTGCTTTCAGATATAATGTGCAAGTCACTACTTTCCTGCAAAGTCTGTAAAAGCATCCAGCCTTCTTCCCCATCCTGCACTTATCATCAAGCTGTTTCTGTTACGAGCTACAATATTTCTACTCTTCTAATGCCTGCTGCATTTTCAAAAGTATTTGAATACAACAGACTCAGCTTGCATTTTCTAAATTTAGATTTAACAAGGGCAAGCTTCACATCCTTATGTGTGTATATTAAGAATACCAGTGAATATTCCTGTGGGCCATGGACCAACTCAACTTAGCATGAAGGATGCAATATTTCCTCTAATAGTTATTGTTAATTATGTATTTATCAAATCTCTGTGTTAAAATTCATTTTATTTACCTGCTACTAGACTTACTATCATTAATGTTTATCTTAAATTGCATCTGATCCAAGCAGGTGCATGAAGTGAACAGTTGGTTGATAGCTCAGGAGATACTCCTTTATAGAAAGGACTACTCTGAACCAGTGATAAGGTACCATACAAGGCCAGTTTGAAAATTACTGCTGCCTGGCTGATACATGCATAAATGGGATGAGGATTTTGCAGAAATGCTACCAACCACAAAGCTGTGTCTAGCACATAATGCTGCCGCTGTAGAGAGAAAATCCAACTCACAGGAGTGTGGAGAAGAAATATCCATAACATCTACAGCAAAGTGAATCTGCTTCACTATTTAGTCAGCCAGGAACAACTCACAAAGAGACTGAAGGCTGTACATTTGGCCTTGCTAGGTCTGACCTTTTTGCAGGAGAAGCAGGTTATCAGCCAGACAAGTGCTTCAAGCAGCCATTTCTGACAGACATGAGCTACTGGGGAAAGGCAGCAGAAACAGACCCTTACAAACCTGCACGACTCTCCAATGAAAGCTGGAGACAAACAGATCCCACTCTAGCCTAGGTAATGGGTGTGTGATTTACAGTGCCAGCATGGACTTAGATAGACTCTCACATTACAAGTGAAGTGGGTCTTGTACAGAGCAGAATTAACAGGGTGAGACTGAGATGGAAGCAGCTATGATGGAGTGAGGTATCTGACCCATGGAGGTGGGGAATACCGCCTGTTTTGCCAAACAGGCTCAGCTATGGAAAGCTCAGAGGCTTTTCTGGCCTAGCAGGGATCTGCCAGCCTGTGCAGGAGTTACTGCAGTCACTGTGTCAAGACATGGTGGAAACACAAAATAAAAAGTTAACACATAAGCATTCAAAGAGTTAGGCTGCATTTTGTTTTCCACACAGAAACCACTTTCAAATTTCAGAAAAGAGAAAACCAATAAATAAATATGGGAAAGGCAAGCAACTGCCTCTATCCACATGAATTCTGCATCAGCTCCAACCCAAAGAACAACAACTGACTCCTAGCAGTGGTACTAGAAATTCAAAATGGAAAAAGAAAAACACCCAAATCATAATGACTCCTATGTACAAAGGCTGATGTCTACATGAGGAGTTATCCCCAGAGCTGCAGAGTTTAGCTTCCCTTCTTTGGGTGATGTTGCATGGAAGAACAACCTCCCCTTCCCTTGGGTGGTGTGATGCTGGGCCAAGGGACAGCATCCAAACTACCCTGGTTCAACCAGTGACAGATCTTATAGTGATACATCCCTCAATAATACCACTGCCATACTCAAAACCTGTTCTTGCACATCTTTCAGTGGTTGACTATTTCTACAGAGCATCTCCTCTACAACTGCAAGAACCTCTGGATTAATCCAAATACTGTTGTACCAGTTTAGTAGTTGTCACTGAACTACTGCTCAGAAACAACATTCTGCTTCCATGGCAATTGGACATTGTCTATAGTCAGAGATGATGAACACTCTCATTTTGTAACAACTACACTACAAGGTGTCTCCTCCCACCTGTTACTTTCTTCATTTAAGTACATCAAACATATACTGTATCTACCACAATCTAATCATATCATAAATAATTGAGAAAGAACAAAACTAAAGGCCACATAAAAGGAGCACAAATCTCTCTTCTGTACTGCTATGACTCACAGAACCTTGGCAATGTTGAAGGCTCCACCAAGTGAGGAAAAAAAGAAACAAAAAAAGAGTAACATAGCTGTGCAATAGTGCTTGCCCACATTTTGTACACCAACACCAGGAGGTCCCATATTTAAGAAGTGAACTTAGGAAATAGATAGCATTCATCCAAAAATATGGTAAGCATATACTTACCTGCAGTTCCTAAACTAAGTAGAACAGCAACCCAAAATACCCAGAACACAATGAGAATCAGAAACGTCCAGAGTGGTTGAAACAGGAGGAGAGGAATTCTGCCAATTATTTTACCAACAATTCGGAAGAGTTGTACAGTGAACTGAAGCCTCTTTCTTAGCACAAGTATAAGGGAAAGCAGAACAATCTGTTACAGGAAATAGAAAGATAAACTGTTGGGTTTCTTTTTCCTTATGAAAAGTATCAGAGTTGTCAAATGTGGGATCAGTGGGTACAGATTTCACAACATGACAGCAAGGAATTTTACACAAACTTACTGCACACTGGAAAAGCATTCTGAGACACTGCCTATATTTTCAAAGAGCCTGAGGATTAAAATCTGGTTTTCTGAAATCATTACCACTGTTTTTTTAAAAACAAAACAGGATCTGTAAAACTGTGATTCACCTAATAGTAACAGTCTGCTTTGCTTTACAGCAAACACAAATGTGCATTACACGCTACATTGCTTTCACATACCCTGTATGTCATGAACATTTAAACTTTCTCTCTACTCAGGTCAGCTTGCCACCGTTCACAATGGTAGGAGGACCAGTCCTTTTCTGCAGAAAGCACAGCAGTAGCACAACTAAAATAACAAGAGCTGCATATGTATGGAAACAAAGCAGACATATAATGAAACCTCATTTTTTTCCCTGAAGCAAAAAAAAAACCAACAACAAAACCCCGAATGAAAAAACCCGACAGTCCCCAGTTCTTTGTATATGACAAGGAACTATGAGCAGCAATTAAAAGAGTTGGAATCTATAAAATGAGAAATGCAACCAGCAGCAATTTCTTCACTAGCTTTCTTGCCTGCTCTAGAAAGAGGCCTCCAGCTCTGAAGAAAAGCATAACCTGCAGCAGCAGTAGATGCTCCCACAGTTCTGCAAATGACAGCCAGTTGTACTGGTACACACATGCATACAAAGAAACCTTTTCTTACCCCTTTAGTATCAACAAAAGTAAAAAGGTGTAGCTTACAGAGAACATGAAAAAATCTGATCTGTGACACATTTATATTTGTTACTGTGAACTGTCAGACTGTTCATATCTGGTGAATTCCAGTCTATGGATCCTTCTCTGCTTTAAGAAAACAGAACAATCATTTTGACAAATGTCTAAACACTCACATTTAACACTGCAACATCAGAGTGAAAAAATAACTTTAAAAGTTGCAAGCCAAACTCAGATTTTTCAGTTGGAAAACAAGGTCAGTGAGAGAAAAGCAGAATTTAACCCCGTAACTTGAAGCCTAAACACTGAAGCCTGTGCTTCACTACCCCTTTCATTTTCTAAAAGAGCTGCCACCCCTTTCTCCTACTAATGGGGTAGGCTAAATTCACAGATCTCATGTTCACACTGAGGCAGTGCCACTCTGTTCACTCAACATGATTGTCCAGTTAGCTGATGAAGATAAGAATGGGATGGAACACCTTGCATTTTTACATCGATCCTAACACTCTTGGTACAGGTTTGAAGTGTGGTGGAGCTCTGTGCTGACAAGCAAAGTTCACAGTGAAGATATAAAACTTTGAAAGTAAGCATAAGCAGATTCTCATCTGCTCATTGATTCTCATTTTCAAATTTGAAAGGAATGAGGAATTAATTTTAGTGTTGCAGAACTCATTGTAGTTCAAGCTTGCAAGTTACAGCCTCTACCATTGCTTAGGATAAAATGCTACTTACAGTAACTACTGTTGAGAAGATAGCATATCCAAGTAGAAATTTTACATTTTCCTTTTCTGTTTCCAACTCAGTGCTGGGATCATTCCTGTAGTCGTAATAGAGCCACCAGAGAACACCTGAGACAACTGAGCAAACAAGAACAGCATGAGGGCAGGCAGCAGCACACTGCTGCTGGCAGACTGGTGTCTGCCCAGCTGCCCGCGCCAGCCTCTTGCCCTCCCACCTCACCCACGCTCTACTCAGGAGTACCATCCCATAGCAGAGAGGATCAGTATCAATAATCACAGAGAAAATTCACATAATGGTCTGGCAGTCTGAGATAAAACCGTAGCAGAATGTTTGGTTTTCTTTCAGTTATTCTAAAGCCCAGGCACGTAATTTCACTCAGGAGCTACAAAGAGAACTTTCATGGAATGACAAGCTTAGCTGGACACATTCCTATAGTTCTTCCTTTCTAAAGCAGGCAATGTAAAACTTCACTAAACTTTCTTTGAAACAGTAGCATTTTCATAACTGCATTTATCTGCCAAAAGAAATGTTGTTTCCAGGCATCTATAAAAAAATAAAAAATCATCATCATCATCCCAACATTCAGCAGCTGGAACAGCACAGCCAGACCTTGGCACCAAAAGGCAAGCAGGGCTCAGCTTGTAAATGTCTGTGGTAAGCTTAAGGTTCCTGAGGATGGCCATGGAGAAAAAGGATAGCTGTTTGTTCAGCTGCCTCTGCCTCTCCAGTGAGATGATCCATTTAACTAAGCATATGCTAAAAAGTAAACATACTTACATAACAACCCGAACACAACCAGTGCAATCAAAGTATGGATCAGAAGTGTCCGAATGAATCTGAACACTAAAACTAGTATAACAGAGAAGGCTGAAATATACACAAGGTAAGTTTATTATGAGTGTTACAACCCATTTAACTTAACTCCTATTTACTTTAAATATAAATTTAAGGTTCTTGCAGATTTTGGGCTTTTATTTTTAAACAGTGGTCTCAAAAGCAACAGCATTTAGTAAAGCTGGCAATCTTTTTAACATTTAATACACACAGTTACCTGTAATTTACTGGTAAAGAACTTATAACTAAAATACTTCACCTTGGGCATTATTAGCCTTTCAATAATATTTTGTATAAGATTTAAGTTTAAATATTCATGCTGATATAATTTTTTTCATCAACAATTTCTTACAGTCCCCTGAAGTGAGTTATATGATTACATCAAGGAACACAGAATCTGATATTTCAGAGCTCTGTTTCATCAGTCTATTAAATTCCTCCTGATAAAACACCATCACTCTTAATTAAAAACAACTCTGCCCAGAAAATATTAAAAATATAAAACTTTTTAATTAAAAATATCAAGTTAATAGAAACATTTGAAACCTCACATTTTAATTGAATATCATTATTCACTTTTATTTATACCCTTACCTAGTGCAAGGATGCTCAGTCCTATCACAGTATCTCTTCCTGCCAATATTCCACTCAGAATGCGGTGAAAAACATCCACTTCATTAACCATACTTATTAAGACAGATGCGTATTTGGAATAGCATTCAGGATTTTGTGGAACACATCGATTAAATAATGGAAAAGATTTACTGTAAGGTTAAAAAGAAAGTAAAAAATATTAATTACTGGACAAACAGCTTGAAATCCAGAGATCCATTCCACTGTTCTCTTTCAAGCCCTCCGCAGTACCCTACCAGCAACCTCAACACAGTTTTGCAGCCACAGCTGGCCAACCTGATCTGTAACGGGGCAGGCACCCTCCCTGCCCAGGAGAATAGCTTGCAGACTGACACAACAGGGCACCGGGCATGGGAGAGGTCTATTACAAAAGGTAGTTTTATGTTTCATCTACAAAATAAACTAGCAGCATCATGCCTGCATCACAGTACTAGAACATCCATTCAAGATCAACTTGGGGAAAAACTGAATCATTATCTCAATCCCTATCAGCATGTAGCTCCTATTCCCATTCTAGTCTGGCTTCACCTGCTTTGCTCCTGTGTGTTTATGTAAAACCTAAACTCATGCTAACATAGCTGTAAGGTATGCTTTGTAGATAATTCTAGACCACAATCACTTTGCATTGTTTTTATGATATTTTATGATATTTAAGCATTCCAAAAGCCACATCAAAACAATGTTGGTATGGTATAATTAACACCATTGAATATTTACATACAAAATTATTTGGCACTCCGAGTCAAGCTTCATTACTTTGGTAATGCTGTACTACAACAGCCAAAGACATATTCATACCTAAAAAGGAGACTTTTGTTCATCAACAGTTAAAAACTTCTCTGACTAGATTTGCTTCTACTATGAAATATTGCCATGCAAGATGAATAACTTTGCTGAGTTCCTTGCCAAACAGAAAAAAGCCTCAAGAGTCGAAGAAATAAGTAAAACATGACATATTTTTTCATCAGTTTACATGCTCTCCTTTGATCCACTGTTTGTAATGTTTATATGTGTCTCCTGCTCTTTTCTGTTTGCTTTTTCTTCTCTATGTTCTCTTGTTTAGAGCAGATGACTTAAGCTCTGCAAACATAAAGATTCCAATTCTTTGCTGTATTTTCATGACATGGTGGAATTTAAAATCATAGGTTTAAGGATTTTGACTCACAAATGCCAAATGTTAAAGATAGTGCCACCCACAGACCTGTGCTTCAAGCCAGCTGGCTATGAAATGATTCCAATGGAAATTTCTGGGTTCATGATAATAAGCAAGGCCCGAGACCACAACTCTCCTTCCTTGGCACTGAGGGAGAGAGCAAAAGGCTGTGCAGGAGATAAGTCACTCCTCATCTGGAGTGCTTTTCTCCTGATTTGAAGAGGAAATGCAGTCCTTGTTCATTCTGTGGGATAGGACACTGTCATGTTCACATGCACATAAGAACTCATAAGTATAAATAAACAGACAAAGAAAAAACATTCTGATTGTAAAGCATCAAGTCAAATACAAAACGTGAGGAAGTAACAATCCTTAAGAAGCTGTTTAGACTCAAGGGTATTGTAAAGTACCCAGTAATTCTTACCTTGGTGGAACTGGCAGCGTGGGACATAGATCAGCTGCCTTTGGATTTAGTGTGTAACTGGAAATGTTCAGGTTGTAAACACAAAGACAAGAACCTATGAAGGAAAAAGAAAAAAGGAAAGGAAACATTAGTTAAAGTTTTAGAGAAAAACACATTATCAATTAAGTTTTATTTACACTTACGCTTTGATTCCTTGGCAAGCCATATTCATCCCTGATATTCCAGTGGGAATGTAAATAAAATATTAAGTTAATTGGGTAAGTCTAAAGCAACCTCTGCAGAATCTTTTGTCTTCTAGACTTCACTATAATTACCATTTACTGATCTTCCTGGAGGGCAGGCACACTATTTGTTCCACAGTGCGATACTTCAGCTCTAAACTCTTCTCATTAAGAGAACAGAAAAGCCCAAAATGACAGACGCCACAATAGATCTAGGCCCCCCATGATTTAGAACAGAATACATATCTGTCCAGAAACTTAACATTTTCTGGGCTCTAGGCTAAATATTACCAGGTACTCTGCTAATAGTACTCTGCTCTATTACATAATGCTTCTGGGAAAGAAAGGCTGGAGATATTCAAGCCTTTCAAAAGGCAATACTGCCCTCTCCCTTGAGATAAACATGCAAACAGTTTTAGCATGTAGATGGAATTTCATGCAATTATATTCAGTTGCACTGAAAATACTTATATAATATCACAGGTGTTTACAGCTTTCTGTACATACCAAATGATGGCAAACTACCCCAAAATGAAATTAAAACAAATGTTGTCAATTTAAACAGCAATCCTTGCCAAACAAAATAACAAAACAAAAAAGAAAGGAATTCTGACCTACAATAAAAATAGTTACTAATATTCACATGGTCTGCAGTTTATGCAGACCCTATGGAATAGGGGTTAAGCTACAGGTTCTTTTATTTGCGTGTTGGACATCAACGAACTGGAGCTGCCTCTTTTTCACCATAGCTACTTCTGACATCATATCCATCTTGAACAGCAGAATAAAATAAAAAAATTTCTAGGCAGAATAACAAACTTTGAGATCTGATGTCTAAAGGGATAAAACCCCTTGTATATCTCTGGTATTAATAACTCCACCATAGTTTAAATTTAAAAGAACCAATTGAACAAGCTTCTCAAATAGCATATGAGCTCTGTTCACCCACTGGCACCCCCACCAAACTATGCTAGCATATTCTCACAGCCAGTTTCTTGCTGCATAATCTCAGCATTGTGCAGGAATTAATCAACAACTTTTGAATTTGCGTAAGAGAGCTGTAACATTTCTAGAAATTATGGCTTTGAAATGAAGCAGAAAAAAGACATTTTGTTTTCTGTTGGCATAGACCACTCAGGAAATTAATGGTAAGAAATTACTCCCCAGTGTAGCAAACATAAGAATAACAAAGTGAAAGCTGCTCAACTGTTCTACAGATACACCAAGATATTCATATTCCCTGTTGCACACCATTATTCCTTGCAAAACTCTGGAGGTCTTCCAAAGAGTTGAGTTGCTCTTGTGGACAACTAGACACACACAAGGAAAGTGAGCTGATTTTGAGGCTTTGCATTTCCATGCTGCATGAGTTCAGAAAGAAGACATACCTAGGAAAAAAAAAAAGATCATCTTTTCAAAAAACAAGCTTTCCATTTTTTATAGGTTTAAATTCTGAGACTTCCTTCCATCTTTTTCAAGCACTACAAAGCAAATGAAACTCATTTTCCAGATATAATGGTAAAAAAAAAAAAGAGTTTGAAGTCAGAAGTTAAGAAGCAATTTGAGAATACACTACGTTTTTACACTTAGTTTTATGTTCTTAAATGGGATCAGAAGCTCCCAAGGTGGATGCCATTCTACGAGGACTAGTTCATGGGAGTTGACAGAATGACTAAGGACTTCAACATGCAAATTCCTTAAGTACAAAGCTTTGCCGTATAGAATGACTGCTGGTTTGGCTGAGGTCCTATTTAAAATAAAATCCTGATTAAGAAGACGACAGTATAAAGCATAACAGTGTAGCAGATTTTCAAATTCTATCTTAAATTTTTTAGTTTCAGTCAATATTTTGCACCATTCTCACACTTTTTTTTGCCTTTCAACATAATCATATATTTATACACATATGTATATGACTGACATTTATAAGTATCTTATTAAATTCTCAAACATTTGATTTATTTAGGCATTATCTGATGCACTTACTTTTTATTAGTCATGTCCTGTCCAGAAAGGGGTGCCCCTTTTACAGGAGTGTTCTTTCTACCACATATGTTCCCAAAGCTGTCATATCCAAGCAAAAGTCTTTCTGCAGCACCAGCCATCACAGCATAGCCAGCTATAAACATCTGTTAAAATATTTTTTAATGTGAAATCATGATATGATAGCTTTTCCTTTCCACTCAATAAATACTTCTTTTCACCCAGGCATTTTTGTCTTGTGGATTCAAACAGTTAAATCTAAAATTCACCCCTCTCCCCAAGGCCAGAGCAAGCCATAAAGGCAAGTTCAGCCCTAACACCTTCTTAGACTTTTCCCTCATCTATTGTTGAAAGCATACAAATTAAGCAGAGTATCACAGGAGAAGAAAGACAGGGGTCCTGATGAAAATAATAGGAAAGCATTACTAAGGTGCTAAACACTGCCTCTACCGAAGTTCATGTGTGTCACCAGGCAAGGTCACTCAAATGGTAATTTTTCACATGTGCACACTGCTTCCCGTTTTTCAGGGTGCCCTTCAAGACACACCTGGACAACATGGCTGCTGAAATGTTCAGCCCTTGCTGCTGCTAGTGAATTTAATCAGAGGTAAATTTTAAACACATGCAGTATAATTAAAATGCAGCTTACCTGAAATTTCAGGAAGCTTCCTTAACACATGTGAAAAACCTAGAGAGCGCCACACCGTGGTCTTAGGTGACACTGCACTGATCTTTTAGATTCTCTGCTATCAGATTAAAGCCCCAGTAAATCAGTTCCCTATGAAGCACCTCTGTTGGCCAAGGAGCAGCCACCTTTAGTCAACATAAGACACCCTGCCTAGGAATGTAACTTAAACCCTGCTTATGTACCCCATGAGGGACAAAACCTCCCTTGAAAAGAACCTTTCCAAGTACTAAGAAGCAGTAATCCTTCTTCTGGGAAGCTGATCAAGTCCTGAGCACTACTTTACCCAAAGGCTTATTTGCAGCACTCTAGCTATTGAAGAAGTCGGCAATTCAGCCGTCTCTTTTGTCCCATGGGGTGTAAACCACATTTCACACCCACCAAGGACAACACACTAAGTTCTAAGGCTACATGCCAATTGCTGGCAGCAACAAGTCTTCTCAGTCCCACATTAACCACTACTACTTTGCACAGATACTGTTGAGTATCAGCTGTGCTAGAGACCAATTGGGTATATCAGATCCAGCACAACTGCTTTCTTGCTTAAGGTTTACAGCCTTTATTTGTTATTCTACTTTTAACACTTGTGACTAAAGATGGGATCTGAGCAAAAACTGAGTCTCATACACAAACATGTAAGTACGCACTTCCTTAGTCCCCAGTGTAGTCTCATTTTTGCTTATATGTTTGCAGTCTAACTAGTTGAATAATATTTTTTTTAAATTATGACTGTGTGTTAATGCTGTCTCAATATGGAGATCTTTGTAGAGACTCCACAATTAAAGCTGACGTACTACCTGTGAATGTGGCATTTGTTACAATAAGAAAATTTTTTTCAGATCCATCTTATTTACATAGCAAATGTTTGTTAATAATTAAATTATTCTCAGAAGAAAAAGGAGAAATGAGATGGCATTGTAATTCAACCTGAAATACACTTTCAAATTCTAGCATTCCTTCTGAAGATGGACATTACAGGTCCATTGCCATCAGTATAACAAATAGTGTGTACATGTGGTTTTAAAATTATATTTTCTTAGAGTACAGAATGCTGGCTACAAGCCATAAATATTGTTAAGTAATAGATTGCTGTATGACTGCTGGAGGGGTGTGTCTATACACACCAGTGATAGGCATTTCCACAGAGTTATTAACGTAGTTTCAGTTTTTTTTAATTATGTGCCAAAATCAGTGCCACCAAAATTTTTTTTAATCTCTTAAAAATAAAATTGAACAAAAGAAAACAAATAGATGTATGCAATAAGCTATTTCACAGAAACTGAGCAATAAAAACAGTGAGAGAAAACAAACAAAAATCCTAAATCCTCACCATTTGACAGGTTTAATTTTTGGCAATGATTAAAGCATCAAGCATAAGACACCATGTAAAAAACCCTATCCTGTTCACAAAGTTCAGCTTTATTTATACAGTATTCAAAATGTGTATGTGTTCTTTGGCATTATCTTCCATTAAAAGAGTTATTAGGAATCGAAAATTGATTAATAGTGTAATCACGACAATCCTGAGTAGCCTCAGACATATCATGAAAAAAAAATCATACTCAAGAAAGACAAAGCCTATTCCCAAAAGTTTGCATGCTGTTCCAGACACAGGACAGATGGTGACTTGATATATCAGATGGACACGTTGCAAGATAACAAGGCTACAGTGAAAGAGGTAAGTAGAAATAAGAGCTGGTCAGAGCCTGGACTAATTTACAAAAAAGTGAACTCTGAATAACCCAGCCCTCAGTATATATGGCATCTAAAGCATATGAGTAGAACTTGAAAGTCTGTGTAACAGACACTGCCAATACAGCACTGCACCCCCACAAAAGTCAGTTCTGTCCCAGTGCAATGCTGGGACCCTAACACCTGTGCCCGTGATCATTTCGGGTTAGATCTAGCGTAGTGCTGTGCAGAACCCCGTTAATTTTGCATCTGATTTCTCTTCCAGAAAATCAGTGCTTACCAAACCAGCCCAGAAAAGAAAGAAGAGGAGCAACCAGAGAGTGTCTGTGCACTTTCTGTAGATGACTGGTCTCCATTCCCTTAGTTCGGAAGCACAACCGCCAGAATCCTAAAATGAAACAAAGACAGAAAAGAAAAAAACCAACAAACTTCCCGTGAAATTACAATCAAGTTTCGAAAAACTGACATTTCCGACAGAGCATAAACCGCACTTCAAATGCCGAACTCTGCCCGCAACAGCTGCGCAGCGCGCCCACGCCGAGGTGCGCT